CAAAGGAAGCAAAGTTTCCTTACTTTAGCAAAGGAAAACCAGTCTCCTCTTGGCTTATATCGAAATCCTCTGACATTCTTCTTTACAAATCCTTGTTTTGTACTTCTAATTCTTGACCGGTGTTTTGTTTTGATATCTCCTCTGCGTTTCTGCGTGCGTCACTTCTGAGCGGCGCATGCACGATGCCGACCTCATACGTCATCCGCCTGCAGCTGCTTCCATTTACAACAGTGAGTGCAAGCTAGATTAAAGTGATTATTAAGTTTTGAATATGGATATTTTTCTTACAAAAATGCATCAATTCGCCACCGGAGGTATTTGTTTACCCCCCGGAGCCATGTGAGACAATTGTTTTTATGGATGGGCGCTTTTTATTTAACTTCTTTTGTACTGAAGCAATGCAACACCCACTGACTGCAATGATAGAGCTTGAAAGATCAAAGACAATTTTTAAAGGGGTCATATGATGTTGCTAAAAATAACATTATTTTGTGTATTTGGTGTAATGAAATGTGTTTATGCGGTTTAAGGTTAAAAAAACATTATTTTCCACATACTGTACATTATCGTTTCTCCTCTATGCCCCGCCTTTCTGAAACGTCGATTTTTACTAAGCTCATCGATCTGAAAAGCGAGGTGTGCTCTGATTGGCCAGCTATCCTGTACGTTATGATTGGCCGAATACCTCAAGCGTGTGACGAAAATGTTACGCCCCTATCATACTGTGATGATGCCCTGGCAGGCCGGAGCGATGATTCAACACCAGACGCTACATATATAAAATATAAAAACTCTTTAAATATAAAAAGCGTACTTACAGTCTTTGAGTCAGAGCAGCCGGCATTGTAGTCTACTCTCCCAGGATCAGTAAACAGTCCTCCATAAAATGTGCTGCACACATCTGAATATTTGGGTTGAACTGTTCTGGAACAGTGTTGTAAATACAACTTAGCCACTGATTTCTAGTCGTGTCCATTTTTGGAAGACCAAACAAAGTAGTTTCGCTTTCACAATGAAACATAGCATCACACATGGCGGCCTAGAGTGAGCAGAGGCCGGGTTAGAGTGAGCAGAGGCGGCGGGCTTGAGAACGGCGTGGCCGGCGGATTCGACGAAGGAGCATCCGGAGGACTTGCGGCAACCACATGTGACGACCCCGGGCTGGACTCCGCTTCATCCACGGTGAAAGCCGATCCGGCGATCCACAGCGCAAAGTTGTCGTATTTCCTCAGCGACCAGCACGGATCAGCTCCAGGCATGATGAAGCAGATATCGTCCTCTTTTGGAAGACCAAACAAAGTAGTTTCACTTTCACAACGAAACTCACAGCGTCTTCACGACATGGCGGCGACAACAACAATACTACAGTGAGAATAAAAGTTACGCCGCCTTTCTTTGTGTGAACATTTGGGCGGCGTTATGCAAATCTTCCCACATAGTGATGTAGACATGTGGGGGCGTGTTAGAACGAGGTGTTTTAGGAGGGGGTGGCTGACTCTTAACTTTTATAAAGAATATCTCTTTGGATTTGAGACTTTAGTCTTTGCAACTTTACAGATCTTCTTTATGCACCAAAAGCTTGTAACACTCCAAAGAGAAAGGAAAAATTGAAATCGCATCATATGACCCCTTTAATATAACTCCGACTGGATTCGTCTGAAAGAAGAAAGTCATATACACCTAGGATGCCTCGGGGTGAGTAAAACGCAGCCTAATTTTCATTTTTGGTTGAACTAACCCAAATGGAGCACATTCCGCTGAGGTGAGGGGTGGGACATTTAGACGCTCACTAGAGGCGGTTTAGCCAATCACAACACACTGGGCTAGCTAACCAATCAGAGCCCATCACCTATTTCTGAGGGAGGGGCTTCATAAAAGAAGGAAATGATCAGGGTATTTCTCAGAGAAGGGACAGAGCGGAGTGGAATAAAGGTACATTATGTGAAAAATAATGTGTTTTTTTTAAAACGAAGCTTTAACACATGTTAGACTGCACCTCATAAACACAATCGAGCCTAGAAAAAAAACAGTGAACCACCTCTTTAAAGTATGGAATTAATACAATAATTAAAAACCATTTCTACTGTTATATTACAGTATTATGAGTGCTTATGATTGTTAACCAAAAGATATGTTTTAATAATTATTTGCTTTATATGTTGGTTGTGACTGTGTGGATGAGATGAGGACACAGGTGTCTGTTTGTGTGTGTGTTCTGATGGCTTTCTTAATCATCTTGTCCCAAGGTGAGCTGAGATGCTCCGGTTACCAGGGAAACAGTAAATTTAATAAATATCAAGTGCTTCCTAGCTGTCATTCTCCCTCAACCATATTCACAACAGGACAGAATTAAGTGTGTAGGAGCAACGGAGAGAGACAAAGATAGAGAGAAAGCACTGACGCACAGAGCCCTTGTTTGTTTTTAATAAGGGTTTCCTGCACGTTCACAAACTCGTCTTAATCCTCAGCATGTCCATGGAGACAAACAGCAGAATATGGCTGAAGGACACTTTTCCAACATGATGAAATCGACAAACAAATTAAACAAAGGTTGCAGTCCAAAAGTTAATCTAAGTTTCAGAGAGGAGTTTGGAATCCTTTAGCTCATTTATGGGAAAACAAGAGATTTTGTTCAAGTCAGTGAGTCGTGAGATTGTGTGTTGATGTGAGGGTAGTTTAGCCGCCCTGTGGGGTTCCACA